CTGGTCCTTGTCGTTCTCTATGGGTCTGAAAAGAACCTTCTTCATCTCACGGTCCCTGATGTCTGGACTGGCAGCACTGATCAACATCTTCAGGTTGGCCGTCGGAGACCAGGGCTCGGCCAGGACGCTGTGTTTGATGGGTGTCACCTGGTCCACGACGGGGGTGGAACCTTTTCTGTTGATGAGCATCGGAGCGACGGAGGACTCTGTGGACTTCAGGGGGGGGGTCCTCCAGTCCAGGCACAGGTTTTCCTGTGATGTAATCAAATATGTGCTGCTCAGATCTTTGTGTTTCCACCAAGGACACTGGTACACACTAGTACACACTGGTACCAGGATCTGTTTCTGTGTTTTTACTACACTGATCACAAATAACACTAATGTACAAAGGCTTTTTTTATCTTATATTTATAACATCCCATTGGTGTAACTTACTATAAAAGTTTAGCTGGGTAACCACACCCCCTAGTGGTGAAACAGCATATCGTTTAACGTTTATTATATGTTGCCCTTCACGAAGGCTAAGGGTTAGTACTACAGTACTACTGCAGTACTAACTGTAGTACTACTGCAGTACTAACTGTAGTACTACTGCAGTGAGGTCACCGTGTTTTACCCCCGGTGGTTACTGGAGGTACTTCTGTATTTCAACCTTTTTACCTTTTGTTCCGTCTGCCCTTCATCCTCCTCCTCCTCTTCTGCCCCCACACTCAAACTTTTCCTTGGACTCGTGAGGTCTTTTAATGCGAGACATTCGACTTCCATGAGTGAGAACTGCCATAAAACAAAAATATAAGATACGAGATGTAAACATTTATAATACAAATATCAACGCGCTACTTTACGGCACAGAACGGGAAAAGAAAAAAAACTCTGCAGTGGAAAAAAAAACAGAAGCAAATCGGAGCAGAGATTTGGCGCAAAGTAAATCGGATAACTAGCTTGTAGCTATGTGACGGCTGCTAAAACAGCTAAAACTTTGACTTAACAGTGAAACCTTAGTTTTAATTTTGACATTTTAGTAGTTGTGGTGTCACCAGTGGAGCAGTGTTAGTGTCAGGACACTGGTCATAAACATCTGACCGTGTCTTAGCCGGACTCCGTGTCTGTGACAGTTAAACACCGCTCCCATGTATGAACTCTATTTAAATTAGCAGTGAAGCTAACGTAGCCAGGTCAGCTGACCTGTAAATGGACCCTAACTTTAGAGGCAGTAACTGAACCACACTGGGCTAAAGCACCACTTCTTACCGTGATCTACGTGGGAACGACTGTAATGCTGTGCTGTTGATCTCGTGTCACACTCTTGTTGGTTCGATGTTAGTCCAGGGTTCGAGTCTGTCTGTTTTCCCTCCTAGAAATAAGCGGGCGGTTCTTCTACGGCTCTGCTACGGTCAGACTCCCGACGGTTCTGTCCCGAGCTAAACCTCGACATCACCCGCTCAAGCTTCTTTTCTGGCGCTCTCGGGCGTCTAGTGCCCTCCAGCCAATCAGCGACCTTCTACCTAGCGCCGTCATACAGTTGCAACCAATCGGCGAGTACGCGCCGCGGCTTCAACTAATGGACGTGTCCAACGATCACGTCTCCCCAGTGGTGTTGGCGGGGCAACCGGCGGGCTGCGTCCTGCACTCACAGAGAGTTGAGGCTAATGACAAAACAGAGAGGTCTCACTCTGCACGTTATTTAGATGAACGGGTAACAGAAAGAACGGCGGTTAGTAACTCAACATCCACTGCACAAACTTATATATTTAAATATAGCTAAAACGAAGAACTACTACATTCATAATATATATTTAATTAAGGATTGACGGTTTGAAAATAAAAAACAAGGATCCACCGACCAGCGGTGACGGTTATGACGGTGTTATTGAAACGACACCACGGATTAAATCCACTTCTTAACAATCGAGTTGTTTTTTGAAACATTCAATTTGTACTAATAAATGAAGTTTCTCCGTTTAAAAAGCATATTTTATTATTATTATGCATTAAAAGCGTGTTCGTGTTTTGTCACATTTAAACTAGTTCCATGTTTATACATTAATGTTTTCTTTTTTTTTATTTGATCATGTGATGTAGTTGAGGTTTTTTCTGACGCGGAGGCTGTTTGTGTATGAGCCCGTGTTCACGTTGATGAAAACGTGCCAACTTCCTTTAGTGCTGACTGTTTGACTAGTGGAGAAGTGTTAACCTCCCCCCAGTCTCCCCCCATCTCTCCCTACTTTCAGTCAGTGTTGAGTGTGGATCTGTTCTTAGTGACAACTCTTCTTCAGAAACGATCTTTGACCTCCAGCTGATGTCCAGTCGTTTCATCCACTGACTTGGTTCGACTTCCTCCTCCACACAGACCGACTGAGGCAGCGGGCTGTAGCTCCGCCAACACCTTCACCCCACCCCCA